TGTTACCTCCAGATCAGCAAAATCTCAGTAACAGTGATGATTAGAATACATAGATTCATGTCCTGTGGCCTGACCTCATCTGCCCTTGGATGAAAGGGAGGAGCAAGAAAGACATGCAGCCCCTGACATGCAGGAGCTGGCCTGGGACTCACAGCAAGTCCTTGGTGCTCTCCTGTTGAACATGCCCAGTTTCACAGATTCCCAACATCAGACAACAAAGCTACTCTGTGACTAATGGATCAAGACAAAAACTAGACTAATAAACATTGTCCAAATTCCCAAAATGACTAAACATCACCCTCTCCTAGCTCCTATAAATGGGTGCTGCTTCTTTGTTAATCACTCCCTTCGCCTCACCTTTCTAGATAAGAATTAATATACCCAATCATAGAATCACTCTCACTTTCTAACAACCTCCAATCCTTGGAATCTCCCCCACAAATCGCCTTATATGAGGCCACATCCCATAAAAGAATCTAACACCTTCTTATTGAGACATCCCGTGGTGTGTATGTTCTCCCTCATGACAAGGAATCAATGAACTCAGATTTGCATGGTTGGATGAACAAATTAATGAATGAAAGGACTTACATCATAATAAAAGATCCAGGACTTACCCCCTAAGAGCTCATGATGTAGCAGGAGAGACAAAGAAACAGTTCTCAGTCAGTGTGATGAATATCATAATGAAACATAAACACAGGATACTGTACAAGTGACATGTCAAAGCCAGGGGTGTCATTGAAGGCTTCCTGGGAGAGGGGAAACTAGGGTGAACCTTAGGTAGAAGTTAGCCCAGTACAGAGGCAGGAGTTGGATTTAGTGGGAGGAAAAATAATGTTTTAGTCGGAGAGAGTAGTAAGTTCAAAGGCAAGAAGCAGAGAGAGTATATAACTAGACCATGACTGAGGTCAAGAAGGGACTACCAACAAGTCTTCCGGGGCTTATATGCTTTTAGGTCCACTGAAGGGTGGTAGGATTAGATTGTATTTTATGAAGATTCAATAACCACATACTGTGATCAAAGTTAAAAAATCATTTACCTCCAGATGTTAAGATGGATACAGCATCACTTTTGTTGTATTGCAAAAAAGGCATAAATTGAATTAACCTTGAGGAAAAATTAAATGATCACAAATTAAGGAATATTCTACATTTTGAACTACAAAAATATCAATGTCATGAAACAAAATAAGGCTGAGGAGCTGTTCCAGGTTCAAGGAAACTAAACATGACTAAACACCATGCTTTGCCCTGGACTGGATTTGGGAATGAAATACTTTTTTTCTTTTGCTAGAGAGGATGTCAGTGGGACAACTGGTGTAACTCAGCTAGATAATACTATGTCCATGTTAACTGCCTGATCTTGGGAATTCCCTGGTGTTCCAGTGGTTAGGACTCTGCATTGTCACTGCTGCTGAGGGCTCAGATTCAATCCCTGGTCAAGATTCCCAGGAGCCATGTGGCATGTCTCCACCCCCCTCAAAAATCACCTGATCTTGATAGTTGTACTGCGGTTATATAAGAGAATGTCTTTGTCTTCTGGAAATGTGCATCACATTTAGGTAAAGGAAAATCATGTCCATAACTAACTCTCAAACTGTTTAGAAAACTGCTCAGAAAAAAAAAAAATATATATATATATATATATATTTAAATGAGAGAAGCATAAAGCAAATGTGGTAAACTGTTAATATTTGGGGAATCTAGGTGAAGGATAGTCATGAATTCCTTATATTATTTCTGCAACTATTTTGTAAGACTGCAACTTGTCAAAATACAATTACCCCTTCCTTACCAAAAAAAATAAAAGCATGTAGTTGAAAAGTCCTATGTGTCAGCACTTTGGTGGGAACTGGGGAGGTGAGAGTGAATAAGATGCTCCCATACCCTACTGGACTCACAGTCTAGCAGGCCATCTTGGCAGCTGATCCAAAGGTGTGAGACGGGATCTCCAAGAAGATAACAATTTGGGCAAAAAGTGGAGAAGGCCTGAATGAACTAGGGCAGTGCCAACATAATTAGAAGGACACGGAAGGGACAATATTTATGACCTGGTGACTAACTGGACTTGAGGTAGGGAACAAGCAAGGTCTAGTGAGGTGTCCGAGTTTCTTAGACAGACCATTGATTGGACCATGGTCCCAGTCACCAAGAGAGAGTTCCCAGGCAGTTTGTGCAGAGGAAGGGCTTGATTTTGGACAGCTCAGTGGTGCTGTTAAGTAGAGGGTTTGAGATACAGGACTGTAGTTTAGGCGAGGCATCTGAGCTGAGATATATTTGGGGGAGTCATCAGCAGTGAGGAGTTAGAGGAAGACGCTGGATAGGAAGAAGACACAAGAGAACCTCAACATCATCTGGAGAGGTATACAGCACAATGATTCACAATTTTTAAAAGGTTATATTCCACTTATAGCTATTATAAAATATTGGCTATATTCTCTGCTGTACAATATTTTTTGTATCATTTATTTTATACATAGTATATTATACATATATATAGTATAATAGTTTATGCCTCTTTATCCCTTACCCCTGTCTCTTACCCCATTCCCCTTCCCTCTCCTCACTGATAACCACTAGCTTGTTCTCTATATCTAAGTCTGCTTCTTTTTGTTACTAGTTTGTTGTATTTTTTAGATTCCATCTATAAGTGAGATCCCACAGTATCTGTCTTTCTCTGTCTGGCTTATTTCACTTCACATCAACTAAAGCCTCTCCTCTTCCTCAACCATAAAAAAAAAAAAAAAGGTTTTGCAAGAGTTGGCCTCCAGCCTGCTGACTCTTCTCCACTAGGAAAACTAAAGATTTGTTTAACCGCTTTGAACTTTCCTTTTGAACCTGTTTGTGTTTAATCAGACCCTCAACCCAATCTCTCATCAAGGCATTTCAATAAATTTTCTCTGTTAAGTCAGAGATAACCTTTAGCTATCCGTCCAAACTCCAAAGCTTGGGTTCACTGGGCCCCAAGCCTCTGCCCCACCTCCCTGCCCCGGGTGGCTCTGCCAGATTCTTGCAGCAGAAGAGTACAGGACGGTGTGGAGGGAGCCGATCCCCACCCCCACCCGCAGCTCCGTCCAGGCGACTGTCCACCCGACCTCCAGCCTCCTGCTAGTCATTAGCCTGGTGAGTTCTCCGGGTCGGGCTGGCCTCCCGGTCCCCTCCCTGGAGTGGGGCCATCTGGCGACAGCCATCCCCACCCACAAACCCGCGAGGCCGGAAGAAGACCGATCGCCTCTGCCACCCCGGGGACCCGCGCCCTGCGCGCGCCCCACGGGGCCAACGGGGGCTGGGGACTAGGCAGGCGCAACCTTCAGCGTCCCGCGGTCACGCGAGGCCGCAGCTGCGCCACCAGCGGGTGTCAGGCCCTCTCACCCGCACAGATGGCCCTGCGCAGCGCGGCCATATGACGTCGTGTCCCCGCCGGGCGGGCCACCCATTCACGGCCATGGCGTCCTCTCACGCCCTGCTTTCCGAAGCCCGCGCGGAAAGGGGTCATTGGCAGAACCTTCACCCAGCTTGCGTCACGGAGCGTGGGGCTGAAAGTTGCGATTGCAAAATTCCCGCGTCTGATCTTGGGCCTTATCTCAAATTGATAGCAGGAAGGCCTTTGGAACCTCTGCCAATTTTGAACAACCAGTGAGATGCTACGGTGCTGGCAGGCTGTTTGTGAGGACGATTTGAGCTGTATGTTTCTTTAAAAAAAAAAAACTGTTTATCGAAGGAAATAGTAAACCAAAGATTACTTTTCTTTTTTTCCCCCTGTCATTAATTTGCCCATCTGTGTGTGGAACCACTGACTTCAAATCAGATAGCTGTCAGGAAAAAGGATAAAGATGCAGGCAATTTTGATTATCATTAGGACAGAGTTTGGGAAAGAGAGAAGTCTCTGGAAATTTGTCTCTTTCCTCTCCCACATGAGTTGCTTAACTAAGGATTTTTTTCTTTTCTGATAATTTTTCTTTTTCTTATACCAGTTCACCAGTCACAGCCTCTGGCCTAAAAGTCCCAGCACAGAATGTTCCTGCCTGTGGAGTTCAAGAATCCTTGCCAAACTGGCAGGGTGCCTTCCTAGGTAGCAAGGAATAGCTGAGGACCTGTCATTTCCTACAAGGGTACCCCAAAGAGGTCCTTTTCTCCCCCTTTTCCGGTGTCTGAATTTGAAAATGAATGCTATAGAGAAAAGACTGGTGGTTACTGAGGGTTTGGGGGAGGGATGAAGTGGGACATTGGGGTTAGCAGATGTAAGTTTTTATATATAGAATGGATAGACAAGGCCCTACTGTACAGCACAGAGAACTGTATTCAATATCCTAAGATTAACCATAATGGAAAATAATATATTAAAAAAGAATGTACATATATATGTATAACTGAATCACTTTTATGTACAGCAGTAATTAACACAACATTGTAAGTCAACTATACTTCAATTTTAAAAAAGAAAATGGATGTTAGTTCTAATTTAGTGTATTTAGCGCATTTCTAAAAATGCAGAGAAGGAAGATTGGCCTTTGGGCAGTGAGAGAAGGCAATCAACACCATGGGCGGATCTGAAGGGCAGAGAAGAAGGTGACCTGCAGACGCCCAATGAGGGAACTGTCCGCCCCCTGACCAGCCTTGGAGGCTTGGGTGCTGGCATAAAAGCAGCCTTGCCTTGTCCAACCAGCCAGCTCTCTCTGGGGGTCAGCTAGAGCCAAGGTGTGGATGTTGGAGTGTTGTTTTTGTTCTCTTTTTTACAGAAACCTTGAAGAAAAAAACACTGGTAAGTTGATTGAAGATGTCCTGTGTTATGGCTTCTTTTTTCTTTTTTATGCATCTCCTCCTGCCACATTGCATATTTTGTTCTTACCTGGAGAAAGTGTGTCCAGCCTTTCCAGTTCCAATTTTAAAAACAGCCTCTATCGGGATCTTACCAGGGTCTTAAGTCAGGTGTTTTGCTGAATTTGCTCTATGCGATGACATATCTCTGTTGCCTTCAGTAGGTCTCCCCCATGACAATGTCTTCCATTAAGATTGAGTGTGTTTTGCGGGAGAACTGCCACTGCGGTGAGTCTCCAGTGTGGGAGGAGGCGTCCAACTCTCTGCTCTTCGTAGATATTCCTGCCAAAAAGGTTTGCCGGTGGGATTCTCTCAGCAAGCAAGTGCAGCGAGTGACCGTGGGTAAGGATGAAGGATGGTCCTGGATCTGCCAAGACAGCCATTTCTTCCCTGGGTAGGGGCGGTCACCTGGTGTGTTTTTCCTCTGGGACTTGATTGTTAAAGCTTATGCTTGAAAACTATTGTATTTTCTTCCTTTTTGGATCCCCCACTTTGACCCAAGAGTAAAATCTGGATAGTCAATACTTTCTTCCCCTGCAGGTGCTATGCCACATTCCCTATCTTGTTTGGGATGGTGAGTCACCAGGCCAAGAAAGTAGGATCTTTCCTTAATACCTTCAGACACCTGCATTGAAAGTTGGAGACCCAGTTTGTGGCACAGCAAAGGTTATCTACCTTGGGTCAGCCCAAAGCCTTAGTTTGCAAACAAATAAACAACAGATTTATCCTCTCTTTGAATGTGCAAAGAAGAGCTTTTGGACTTAGAAAGCATAAACCGGGACTTTCTGTTTGTTGTTCTAAATGGGATTCACAAGAGAGTTTCAAGTGCCTGTTAATGGCCCTGTGATTTCCCAAGGAGGGGTTTATCACCTTCTATGGCCCAAGGGTATGGGCTTCAGTAGTGATAAAGAAGTTTCTTTTCCTTATTGTGCTGGTGGGAAAGAGATACCAGGGTCCTGTGACCTTAGGACACTCTCTCAATTCAGAACTGGGGACTTTTTCTTTTTAATGAGAGGGAACAGCTTTTAATACACTCAGGGACATGACTGTGGCTAAAGGCAAAAATGACTATGACCTGCTATGATCAGAGTCGGAGGAGGGACCCACGACCTTCTCTAGTCTCCCTTTCCTAGGGTGCACATATTAGGGATATATGTGAATTGTGAAAGTCACTCAGTCCTATCTGACTCTTTGCAACCCCATCCAGGCCAGAATATTTGAGAGGGTAGCCTTTCCCTTCTCCAGGGGATCTTCCCAACCCAGGGATCAAACCCAGGTCTCCTGCATTACAGGTGGATTTTTTACCAACTGAGCCACAGGGAAGCCCAAGATTCCTGGAGTGGGTAGCCTATCCCTTCTCCAGCGGATCTTCCCGACCCACGAATTGAACCGAGGTCTCCTGCATTGCAGGCAGGTTTTTTTTTGTTTTTTTTTTTTTTTTTTACCAACTGAGCTATCAGAGAAGCCCAGGGGTATATTCCTACCCCTAATCTGCAAAACAAAGACAAAAACCCAAACCCTCCAAAGGGCTTAAAAGCTAACCGGGTAGCTCAACTGATAAAAGAATCTGCCTGCAATGTGGGAGACCCCGGTTCGATTCCTGGGTTGGGACTGAGCAGACTGAGCGACTAAGCACAGAATACAGCACAGGCCACAGGTTGGGATCCCTGATGAGGATGTGATGCTCCTAATTGTGTCCTGCACATTCCCTGGGAGTCTTCCCAGGTGGAATGTGTGTGCGAGTGCTCAGTGGTGCCCGACTCTTGGTGACCCCATGGACTGTATCCCGCCTGGTTCCTCTGACCATGGGATTCTCCAGGCAAGAATACTGGAGTGACTTGCCATTTCCTCCGCCAGGGGATCTTCCCAACATAGGAATCAAACCCGAGTCTCTTGCATCTCCTGCTTTAGCAGGCAGATTCTTTACCACTAGCGCCACCAGGTGGTAAAGAATCCGCTAGCACCACCAGATGGTAAAGAATCAGCTAGCGCCACCAGGTGGTAAAGAATCCGCCTGCCAATGCAGAAGATGTAAGAGACGCAGGTTCGATCCCTGAGTTGGGAAGATCCCCTGGCGGAGGAAATGGCAAATCAGTCCAGTATTCTTTCTTGGAGAATCCCGTGGACAGAGGAGCCTGGCGGGCTACAGTCCATGGGGTCACAAAGAGTCAAACATCACTGAGCACACGCACACACATTCCCTGGGACAATTCACGGCTGGAATCCACTTCTTTGCAGGGCTTTTAGCTAAGAGCCGTTCCCAAACACCCAGCTGCTCCCAAGCATTGTCTTGTACAGAATAGCTGCTTGCAAAATGTTTATACCATAAATTCTGTCAATTTGTTTCCCTTGAGCAGTCACCACAGTAGTCAATCTATCCACTTAAAAAAAAAATTCAATGGAAAAATATTAAACGCAGGAAACCTAAAATTTAAATATACAAAATAGAGTACTATAAGGACAATGTGATTTTTAAATCACTGCATCTACATTTCTTTTTTTTTACTATGCATACTACCAAAAAGGATTTGAAAAAAATTTTCAATTAAAAATATACAAAATATGTCCCTTAAAAAAAGATAAGTCCTAATTAAAAAGAAAAACAAGACAAGCCCTTTTTTGGAGAGAGAGATGGCACAAAACCCTGTTGCTAGAACAAAACACAATTTTTGTCTCTGAATTTCCTGAAGATCAGGCAAATTGAGTATCACTTCTTCTGTATCAACTGTCCTGGTACACACACACACACACACACACACACACACACACACACACATCCTTAGAAGCCTCTCCTCTGAACTTGCTTTGGTGCCTGCCCCAGTGTATGGTGACTGCTGTGGTTTGACTTCTCTACTTCGCCCACTAGGCTGGGAGCTGGGTTTCATCCATCTTTCCATCCCTGGTGCCCAGAACAGCACACAGAGTTCACGCTCAACGAATATACTCGGTTATGTAGCCTTCACTGTTCAACAGAAAGGAGGGTGCACTCCTATTGTCAAAGAGCTGCACACACCTAGATTTGCGGGGTAGTGTGATGGCTGCAGTGTGACTGCTGGCTACCTTCTGACTGCTGCTTTTGCCTCTGCAGATGCCCCTGTCAGCTCTGTGGCCCTTCGCCAATTGGGAGGCTATGTTGCCACAGTTGGAACAAAGTTCTGTGCTTTGAACTGGGAAGATCAGTCAACAGTTGTCTTGGCCACAGTAGATAAAGAGAAGAAAAACAATCGATTCAATGACGGGAAGGTGGATCCCGCTGGGAGATACTTTGCCGGTATGGTTTATTTTTAGCACCTACTTACTGAGATTTGGAGCTTCCCAGGTGGCTCAGTAGTAAAGAACCCCCGCCAAAGCAGGAGATGCAAGAGATGAGGGTTTGATCCCTGGGTTGAGAAGATCTCCTGGAGGAGGGCGTGGCAACCCACTCCAGTATTCTTGCCTGGGACAAAAGAGACTGGTGGGTTACAGTCCATGGGGTAGCAAAGAGTCAGACATGACTGAGTGATTTAAAAAAAACAGAAGAATATGACTTATAAAAGTCTCACAGCTGCAGTGGTAAAAGAAGTATCCATAATGGGTCTTGGGTTTTCCTTTTCTTATTACTTCAGTCACTTGTATCCAAAAAAAAAAAAAAATCCCATGAGAAATACTTCATAGATATACCTTTCAATTGCTGCCTGAGGCAGACTAAAATTTGTATGGTATTTTTGTAGTTTAAATAAGTTTTAAGACAAGGTTATATTGTGATTGCTTTTTAAATTGGGAATAATTTCAAACTTATAGGGAAAAAAGTAAGAACAGCACAAACAACACCCGTATAGCCTTTACCTGCTGCTGCTGCTGCAGCTAAGTCACTTCAGTCGTGTCCCATAGACAGCAGCCCACCAGGCTCCCCCTTCCCTGGGATTCTCAAGCCAAGACCACTGGAGTGGGTTGCCATTTCCTTCCCCAATGCATGCAAGTGAAAAGTGAAAGTGAAGTCGCTCGGTCATCTCTGACTCTTAGCAACACCGTGGACTGCAGCCCACCAGGCTCGCCCGTACATGGGATTTTCCAGGCAAGTGTACTGGAGTGGGGTGCCATTGCTTTCTCCCATAGCCTTTACCTAGACTCACCTATTATCAGCATTTTGCTCTGTCTGTTCTTAGTACATATAAACATTTTTCTCCAGGATCATTTGAAAGTAAGTTGTATATATCATGTATCTTTACTTCTAAAATACTTCCCTGTGAATTTCCCAAGAAAAAAATGACATATTCTTACATAACCACAATACAGTAATCAATTCAAAGAAGTTTAAAAAAAAAAGAAGTTTAACATTATACAACAGTTTTATCTGATGCACTGCCTACATTCCAGTTCTGTCAATTCACCAGCCTTTTTACATATATATTATTTAAATATAATATAGTTTTATTATCAAATATATAATATATAAAATGTATACTATATCATTAAATTTATATATTTTATATATTTAAATATATAATATATTTATATAGTTTATATAAACATTTTATATAAAAATGTTTTTAATAGTAGTATTTTTCCTTCTAGTACAGAATCCAGTCTAGGATTATGTACTGCATTTAGTTGTCATTTCTCTATCATCTTTTTTCATCTAGAACAGAACATAGCCTTTCTTTGTTTTTTATGACATTGCCATTTTTGAAGACTACAGTCCTACCCAACTCTCCTCTTTTTGATAGAACATTCCTCGTGTTGTTGCATTTGTCTAATACTTCCTTGTGATTAGATTGAGGCTATATATACATTCATGGCTGGAATCACTGCACAGTTCTGTCCTTCTCAGGGTTCCCATCTGGGTACCATCTGTCCACCATCAGTGATATTAGTTTTGATCACCCAGTTGAGGTATTAGATTTCTCTACTGCATAGTTACTATGTTTAATTGAGAATTATAAGCAGCTTGTGGGGTTTGTTAGTGATATATTACTGTGTAACAAATTACCCTGAAATTTAGTAATTAAAATAACAAACATCTATTATCTTCTGAAGGTCAAAAACCTGAGTCTGGCTTAGCTGAATGGTTCAAGGCTATGTCATGAAATTGCAGTCAAGTTGTTGTTTGGGGCTATAGCCTTGGAGGAGGCTAGAGTCTCTGAAGGGGTCTGGAGGATCTGCTTCAAAGCTCACTCACATGGCAGTTGGCAAGAGATTTCAGTTTCTTACTATGTGGGCCTCTCCATAGGAATGCCCAGGACCTGGCTTCCCTAGATCCGGTGATGAGAGGGAGGGAGGGAGGGAGAGAGAGAAAGAGAGAAAACACCCAAGATGGAAGCTATAGTCCTATTATAAGCAATCTCATATATAAATAACATAGCATCACTTCTGCCAGGTACCATTGGCCACATAATTATGGAGGGGACTAGACAAGGGTGTGAATACTGGGAGGCAGGGATCATTAAGGGCCATCCTAGAGACTGGCTACAACATGAGCAGACACTTTAAGTCCAAGCAAATATCCTGGTCCTCATCAAAATTTCTCCCTTAGGTTTTACATTATTTGATGATTTTTGCTTGAAGCCATCTTTAAGAGGATGGCTGCAGAATGACTTATACACAGCTTAAAATGAATTTTAAGTCTATGTTGAAATTAATAATGCATTTCATATTTAGTTCTCATTTTCATCCCAGCATAACAACCCTATAGTTAGCCAAGTGTTAGGTGCTCAATTGTGTCCGACTCCTTGCGAACCCATGAACTGTAGCCCACTAGGTTCCTCCATCCATGGGATTCTCCAGGAAAGAATACTAGAGTGGGTAGCTATTTCCTCTTCCAGGAGATCTTCCCGACCCAGGGATTGAACCCAGGTCTCCTGCATTGCAGGCAGATTCTTTATGTCTAAGCTACTAGGGAAGCCCAATAATTAGCCAAAGGTGATTCTAAATGCCTGCTGTTTCCACTCCCCACTCAGCCCCTCACATCATCAGCCATGCTATCCTGGCTCCATTTACTTTCAAAATTGAAGGTAGGTAAGATCTGAGCAGGTGGTGTGAATAGTTTCCCATCTACCTAGACTTTATACAACCACAGATTTAGTCCAAGACAGGTTGAAAGATTAAAGCTGAGAATCCACTGGAAGCCCTTCTGCCAGTAATTTCTGTGGGATGAAGAAATATGATCAGATACCCTGCCTCCTGTTGAAATTGATTTTCTCTCTCCCTCTTGGCTAGAAGTGTACACCTCTGTGGCACTTGGTGAGACAAAATTATAATGTCCTCAGAGGCCTGATTTCTTAGCCTGAAGTCCTCAGTCCCCAGTTCTTAACTTTTGCCCTCTGGAGACCCCATAAAGTTGTAGGCATCAGTGTGAGTATATACACTGGTCGTGTGCATCTGTCAGTAACATCAGAGAAACTTTTTCTACAGAGTGTTCATAGCTTTCGGCAGGTGTTGAGAGCTGTCCCTGGCCCAGAAAAGGGTGAGATTGTCTGATAATCTGGATGGGGTCTCTTAGTGGTGGGTAGTACCCTGAAGGTGTCCCAACACCGATGTTCTCACCTGTCAGGGCTCACTACTAGACAGTGATGCATAAACTAGGGCTCCAGGTTGTTCTTCCTCACTAAAGAAGAGCCCTTTCCAAGCAGTGGGGGATTCACTTTCATGTCCCAGACATTTCTTTCTGTGAGGCAGGTAGTGGGGGAAAGAGATGAGTTGGGGAGGGGGCACGGTGGAATAGTAACAAAACAAGCCCAACGTCTTATAGCAAGAAAATAGGGCGGAAGGATCTACCCTGTCCAGCTTCCTATTCAGGCTTCCCAGTTTCAGTCCATTTTGCTCTAAGTCACTCTTCTTTCAGACGGAGTATGTCACAGTAAATGAGCTTTCCAATTTCTACATTATGTGAAATTCTACTCTGTCCCCCGAGATCACACTCAAATCTAAGTGAATTGTCCATGGGCACTTGAGTTAATGGAGTGTTCTCTATAAATGTCACTTAGGTCCAGTTGAATGATGGTGTTCAGTTCTTCTATTTCTTTGCTGATTTTCTATCTATATGGATCTATTATTGAGAAAGGGAGACTGACATCTCCAGCCAGATTTATGGATTTGTCTGTTTCTCCCTTCACTTCTGGCTTTTCTTTTGTGTATTTTAAAGCTCTGTTGTTGAGCGCGTGAACATTTAGGATTATTATGTCGGCTTAGTAAAGTGACCATTTTCACAATATATAGTACTCCTATTTATCCCTGGTAACTTTGTTTGCTCTAAAGTATATCTTATCTGATATTAACATAGCCTCTGCAGTTTTTTAAATTAATACTTGCATAGTATGTATCTTGGGCTTCCCAAGTGTCGCTAGTGGTAAAGAACCTGCCTGCTGATGCTGGAGATGCAAGAGTTGCAGGTTTGATCCCTGGGTGGGGAAATCCCCTGGAGTTGGAAATGGCAACCCACCCCAGTATTCTTGCCTGGAGAATCCCATGGACAGAGGAGCCTGCCAGGCTACAGTCCATGGGGTCACAAAAGAGTCAGACACGGCTGAGCGACTAAGTACACAAGCACGTGCTTTGACTTAGAGCTACCATTTTATTATTTTCTCTTCTTTCCTGCTATATTTCTTTGTTATTCTGTTTCCCTCTTCCTGCCTTCTTTTGGGTTATTTGAGTATTTTATAGAATTCAATTTATTTGTTGTGATTTTCATCATATCTTTCTCTGTAATTTTTTAAGGGCTCCCGAAGGGGTTGCAAATATATAGTTAATTTTTCAGTCTATCTAGAACCAATATTTTACCACTTCAGTTGATAATCACCCATTTATGTTATAGTTGTCTTTATATACATAAGTTAAAAATCCAATCAGAAAATGTAATTTTTGCTTTATATTATATTTACTCATACATTTACTATTTCTATAGCTCTTTCTTCATTTCTGATATTCTTTTTGGTATTTTTTCTTTCGATATTTCCTTTCTATCTGAAGAACTTCCTTTAGTGATTCTTTTAGAGCAAGTCTGCTGGCTATGAGTTCTCTTAGTTTTACTTCACATGAGAATGTCTTTATTTCTCCTCTATTCTTCAAGGGTATTTTCACTTAATATAGAATCCTACCTAGGTTGACAAATTAAATATGAATCACTTCCTTCTGACCTCCAGTTTCTCATGAAAAATAAACAGCCATTGAAATCATTATTCTCCTATATATAGTATGTCATTTTTCTTTTATTAATCTCAAGGATTTCTATTTAACCTAAGTTTTTGGAAATTTGATTATGATGCATCTAAGTATAAGTTTCTTTGGACTGATCTTGTTGAGGTTTACTCAGCTTCTCAAAGGGCTTCCCAGGTTGGCACAAGTGGTAAAGAACCCTCCTGCCAATCCAGGAGACATAAGAGACATGGGTTCAGAAGATCCTGGGTTCAGAAGATCCCTTGGAGGTAGTTCATAGTTCAGTCACTCAGTTGTGTCCAACTCTTTGCAACCCCATGGACTGCAGCACTCCAGGCTTCCCTGTCCTTCATCATCTCCCAGAGCTTGCTCAAACTCATGGCCATTGAGTCAGTCATGCCATCCAACCACCTTGTCCTCTGTCATCCCCTTCTCCTCCTGCCTTCAATATTTCCCAGCATCAGGGTCTTTTCCAATGAATCAATTCTTCACATCAGGTGGCCAAAGTATTGGAGTTTCAGCTTCAGCATCAGTCCTTCCAATGAATATTCGGACTGATTTCCTTTAGGATGGACTGGTTTGATCTCCCTGCAGTCCAAGGGACTCTCAAGAGTTTTCTCCAGCCCCACGGTTCAAAAGCATCAATTCCTTGGAGGAGGAAATCAATCAAACCCCTTGGAGGAAAGCATGGCAACCCACTCTGGTATTATTGCCTGGAGAATCCCATGGACAGAGGAGCCTGGCGGGCTACAGTCCATAGGATTGCAATGAGTCACACACAACTGAAGTGACTGAGCACACATGCACCCACCAGTTCCAATCTGCTTTCTATTAGGTGGCATTAAGTGTGCCACTCAGTGGTCAGTCTGAGAATTAGAAAGAGTTCTATCCATTAGCTCCATTCTCCAAGTCTTTTAGTATGCTAATTAGAATCAGATACATGCATGGACAAGCAGATTACAAACAACTTTATGAGATTGCATTCCTGAGCATCATCCCTCTTCACTAGCTTCTAGTACTTTCCAGCTTCCTGGAGCTCTCCTTTTAATTCCTCCAGCCAGAAACCACCCACTTCTATGATTATTCTGCCTCCAGGGCCAAGTGGCAGGCAGAGAGAGAGGAGAACATGAAAGCAACAGCATTTGAGCTTCCCTTTTGTCCCTGAAGCTTCACTAAATGGAGAGGAATGGCATCTTTGATTCCTGTAGTTTCCTGTTGCTGACGGCTCTTTGCCTTTGCTACCCTAGCTGCAAAATTGCCTGGGGACTGGTGCATGAGAAAATGGAAAAAAGGGAGTGGAATATAAGCAGGGGATTTCTTCCACTCTCTGAGCCGCAAGGGTGTTTTCTGCTCCTTGTGCCAGATTCGGAGGTTTCTCTTGGACCTCGTTCTGCCTGCACCACAGTGCTCACTTCCACATTTCAGGCTGGGTTGAGTTCAGGCTGGGACATGTGCTGTGCTGTGTTTAGTCGCTCACTGGAGGATAAAATGGAGAACTTGACAGGTCGCCACTGGTTAGGTGATACTTCAAATTCTATGTTCTTCTCTAAGCTGACTCACATCACAGAGTTCTCAAAAAGCTACGCTGTGTGTTTTGTCCAGGTCTTAGAATTTGCTTAAGGCTTTCCTGGTGGTTCAGATGGTAAAGAGTCTGTCCACAGTGCAGGAGACCCAGGTTTGACTCTGGGTTGGGAAGATTCCCTAGAGGAGGAAATGGCAACCCACTCCAGTATTCTTGCCTGGAAGATCCCATGGATGGAGGATCCTGGTGGGCTACAGTCCATGGGTTTGCAAAGAGTCGGACATGAGTGAGCAACTAACACTAGAGTTTTCTCAGTGGGAGAAAATGAAGTTGGTGCAGATGTCTTGAACTAGAACCTCTCCAGGTAGTTTTAATTAGCATGGCAAGCAAGGTAGTTGCCATTAAAAAAAAAAAGCATAGGACCCAGATTGGGACTGTATCATCATTTCCTTGATTTCATCATGGGGAAGGAGCACTGGTGAGAAGATGACACCGTGCACAGGCAGGATGCTGTGTGGCTGAGCTCCATGCTCTTTGGGTTTTGTAGGTACCATGGCTGAGGAAACAGCTCCAGCAGTTTTGGAGCGCCGCCAAGGGTCCTTGTACTCCCTCTTTCCCGACCACCATGTGGAAAAGTACTTTGACCAGGTGGACATCTCCAATGGTTTGGATTGGTCTCTGGACCACAAAATCTTCTATTACATAGATAGCCTGTCCTACTCCGTGGATGCCTTTGACTACGACCTGCAGACGGGAAAGATCTGTATGTGCCTTTTCATTATTTTTCATGGTATCTTTTTCATATGCATATGATTAGTCAGCTGCTGCTCCCTTAATCTATTTGAAAAGGTCCTTACTTTTCAGAGAACTGCCCAATGTTATAATTCCAATATAGTAATGATTACTCAGACTTGACTATGCTGCCAGTCAAGCCATGGCTGTCAGCAGGAGACCTGGGTTCAATCCCTGGGTCTCAGCCATGGCTCTCATGGCTTTAGCTCTCAACTCAGTATGGCCACAGTTGGCATAAGATGGCTAGGTCCTCAATCTTTTTTCTTGCAACCATCACTAGAAAGAGGCTCACTGTAAAACAGATCCTGTTCTGCCGGCCAGTGTTTAAAGTCAAATAATATACAGCCGAATGGGACAACAGAACAGAAAATCAGAGTTTGGGGTTGATATTTCTTATTTGTACTTTAGTTAACTAAAGGCAAATACTCAAAGACAAATTAACAACCATTCAAAATGGAAAAATAAAAAAGGTAGTTACAGATTGTTCAACTCTACCACTGGGCTCTAAATGAGCCATAGTTGGAAGCTGGGAGGGAAGGAATTATTGGGAAGAATTTAAAAGGCCATGCTTGAAACTTTCATGAAAGGTGCCAGACCACAAGAGCAAAACCAATCATAAAAATGACTTGAAAAATATCCTAAGAGTCTCATGCAGATTTAATCAGAAAATTTCCAGCATAAATGTTTTGCTTTGAAATATGTAGTGCCCTATTTCATGACTGTTTTTACCCATTTTACTTACACATGGTTTCAACATTCCTTCCATTATACCTCAATCTGATTACTGTAATGGCTTGGATTGTATAGTGTAAAGTTCCTATGAATTTTGATGTTTGTTTTATTTTGTATATTATGATTTTCTTTAAGGCCAGCCAGCTGGTTTCAAAATACCCCCTCTTTTCAGAAACAAGCCCTTCTAATATTTAGTTTCAATAAGGTGATTTTGGAGCATTTAATCAGGCAGAAACAAAGCCTATACATCTTGCCAGTTTTTGTGCAAGAACTATTTGCAAATCAGACCCAGGCCCTTGGCAGTGAGAGCATGGAGTCCTAACCACTGGACTGCCAGGGAATTCCACAAAGCAAGCAATTTTGGAAGTAAAACAGCAAAGGTTTAACCATAGACTGAAGTGTATCTGAGGTAGGCAAGCAGGGCTTCAGTTCAGTTCAGCCTCAAAAAGGTCTTTTGGTATTTTATTAAGAATTCTGTTTTCCTTTTTCGCTCCTCCTCTGAAAGCTTAAGAGATCTGTGTCTGTATGCAGACTGAAGGGAGCAAATCCACCCCAAATCCTGCAGTAAAAAATCCTTCGTTGAGGGGTGCCCACTCATGTTTCTAAACTTTTTTAGAGTTAGGAATCCTCCTGAATCATCCTGCTTGGGGCATCCACTTGTCAGACCCTGAATAAGCAGAAGTAATCAGTATTTATAATCAACTTGATTGCTCATTGTTTGATGCTCACTAGTGAGTGACCTGTGATTTTTTGTGTGTGTGTGTGTTTGTGTTTACGTGTGAGTATGGTTTGGTGTTGTTTTGGTTTGTTTTCTTTTTCACCATAGCCAACCGCAGAAGTGTTTACAAGCTGGAGAAAGAAGAACAAATCCCAGATGGAATGTGTATTGATGTTGAGGGGAAGCTCTGGGTGGCCTGTTACAATGGAGGAAGAGTGATCCATTTGGATCCTGAGACAGGTAGGCCCACAGCAAAATGATAAATTCCCACCATGTCTAGAAAACACCAGACACTAGGGGCCAGAGAAGCTTCCTTACTAATGAAGTTATAGAGAAATATATTCAAAGGTCTCAGTTGGATGATTTTGGAAATAAAGGCCAAAGATAAAGCCCAAAATGTTATGTTCAGAACTCCTTTACCTGTAGAGGTAAATCTTTTTTCTCAAAAGAAATTGTCAAGGAAGGTAGGTGAAACTCCTGGGAGAATTGACCTTCAAATCTTCTTTGAACTTTCCTATTGCTCCACAAGGGGTCCCAAAAGGTTGTGTAGTTGGAGATTTACTAGAGCTAGACTTTGAATGAAATATTTGGTGATCTAGGGAAAAGACTCCAAACTGTGAAGTTGCCTGTTGGTAAAACAACCTCATGCTGCTTCGGAGGGAAGGATTACTCTGAAATGTACGTGACCTGTGCCCGGGATGGGTTGGACTCCAAGGGTCTTCTGCAGCAACCTGAGGCTGGTGGAATTTTCAAGGTGATCTGGCTATCTCTTATATTTTCAGGGTGAGGTGGGAGATCTTCAGTTAAGTAACTCAGTGATTAGTGCTTTTTCATACTTTCCAAACACAATTCTACTTGGCATTTTAAGCTCATCGTGCTAGACTTAAAAACATTTTATTTAGATTTTCTAGACCTTAAGTTAGGCTTTCCTGGTGGCTCAGTGGTAAAGAATCTGCCTGAAATGCAAGAGACATGGGTTCAAGATTCCCGTTAGATCCCTGAGTCGGGAAGATCCCCTGGAGAAGGAAATGGCAACCTATTCCAGTATTCTTGCCTAGGAAATCCCATGGACAGAGGAGTCTGGCAGGCTACAGTCCATGGGGTCAACAGAATCGGACACAACTTAGAGACTAAACCACCACCACCACATACCTTAAGTTATCTGAAGTCCAGGACAATGTGTTTAGCTTACTTTGGACAGTACTTTAAAATATTTTTTTGCTTCAGTAGTGTTGTCTAAATTCTATAAACCAGTAGAATAGGCTTGGAAAATCAGTGTTTAAAACACGCTGATAAGATTAGTTGATTGCTTTGATGTTACAAGAATATTTTCAGGTTCTTAACTTTTTGGCAGTGAAATAAACACTGGTAAAAATTATAGACCTCTTGAGTTGAAAAGAAATGTAGAAAGCCCTTGCTAAACAGATGGGAAGAAGATAGTAATAAATTCAGTTTTCAATCCTAATTGTAAATGGTTGCTAGTTGAATTACTCTCATGTGAATAATTGGTTGGACCAAAAATATTTAATCAAATAATTCTTTTTTATTATAGGAAATAAAACAAGGATAATAGTTGGCTAAATATACTATCATGAATCATAAAAATGCTTTTGGAGAATACTTGTGAATTACCTTGTATCAGAGTTTCTCTCTTTTCTTTTTTTAACAGATAACTGGCCTAGGAGTCAAAGGAATCCCTCCCTATGCTTACACAGGATGAGTGACATCCTCTTCCTAGTGGAGGAGACGTAGAAGACAATTAGAAAATTCTGGAGCTGAAATTTCCATCTAGTTACCAAAAACATGAAGCAATGACATTACCAGGATTAAACTTTTATTTACAATTTTTAAAAGGTAGAGTGTTTCTAACAAGGGTTGACAGGTGGTCTTGATAACCTAATATAAGGCCTTCTGCAAAGGTACTATAGAAATATAAATGTGTTTAACTATCAACGAAGCCTCTTGATTCTTTGCAAATTGCTGGTGGAGTTGGGGGAAAGGGAAGAGACTGTATCTGTTCTTTACTCTGCATTCCATACTTACTATACCTAAAGCTTCAAAACACTAATAAATAGTAGTCTGGCAATGACATATTGTGATTATGTTCCTTTTTATTTTCATCATAATCATATAAAAATGTTTCAAAAAATGTTTTAAATGCTGCAAAGCCAGCCTATCTTCATATTACTCTTCCTGTATGTTATTTTACAAACTAAAACATTGCTAGAGGATAAGAATCAAACATTTTGGCAAAATGCATGGTTCCAACTGCCACCTAGATGTAGATGTAAAAGTAATGTATCACTTTGGAAAGAACACTTTTTAAAAAATAGCTTTAGTGAGTTATAATTTACCTACACATATTACATATTTAAAATATACAGTTTGATAAGTTTGACATATATGTGTGTGTGTGTCTGTGTGTGTGTGTGTGTGTGTACTCACGGAACCAACACCTCAAGTAAGATAATGAATCTATCCACTACCCCAAGACCTTCCCTGTGTCCCTTTGTGTCTTTCCTTTGGTCCTTCTGTATGCCTGCCCCCAGCCTCAGGAAACCACTGATCTGATTTCTGTCACTATAAATTAGCCTTAAAATTGAATACTGTGATCTCTCAACTTCCTTTTTTTTCAAAATTGCTTTAGCTCTTTTAGTTCCTTTGGCCTTCCATATAAATTTTAGAATCAGCTTGACTATATCTACAGAAAAGTCCTGGAGCAATTTTAATTGAAATTGCTTTAAATCTGTAGAACAATTTGAAGAGAAATGGCATTTTTACTATTTTGATTCTTCCAATCCATGAACATGGCATGTCTTTCCAATTATTTAATCTTGTCTGACTTCTTTCATCAGCATTTTGTAGTTTACAGCATACAAATCTTACACATGTTTTGTTAGATTTATATCCAAGTATTTCATTTTCTGGAGCTATCATAAGTATCATTATTATTTAAATTTTTTGTTTCCAGTTGTTCATTGCTCACTTATGGAATTATGATTGGTGTTTCTAGGTTGACCCTGCATCTGATGACTTTACTAAACTCACTTATTAGTTCTTTATTAGTTCCTTGAGTATCTCTATAGGTTTTCTGAGGTTCTTTGAATATATAATCATGTCTTCTGTGAGTAGGCAGTCTTATTTTGTCCTTTATACTATGTACATTTTAACTTCTTTGTCTTGCCTTATTGCACTGACTACAGCTGCTGGTATTATTTTGAATAAGAATAGTAAGGGTGGATATCATTACCTTATTCCCAATCTTAGGAAAAAAGCATGGAATCTTTGTTCATTAAATATGATGTTAGCTGTAGTAATTTTTGTAGATGGCCTTTCTCAGGTTGAGGAATTTCTGTTCTAGTTTAGTTTGCTGAGAGTTATTATTATTATTATGGGTGGATTTTATCAATTTTTTCTGCATTTGTTGATATGATCATGTGGCTTTTCTTTTTTAGGCATTGCTATGATAGATTTTTATTCCTGGGATAAACCCTGCCCTGGATGGTGGTGTATTAATCTTTTTATGTATTACTGGATTCAACCTTCTAAAATTTTGTTGAGGATTTTTGCATCTGTGTTCATCAGGAATATTTGTCTCTAGTTTTCTTTATTTCTACTATCTTTGTCTGGTGTTGATATCAAGATAATACTAGCCTCAGAAAATAAGTTAGAAAGTAGTCCCTCCTCTTCTATTCTCTGGAAAAGATGGTATTTATCTATGGCTATTTATTCTATAAATACTTAGCAAAATGCACAAGTGAAGCCATTTGGACCTGGAGATTTCTTTTTCAGAAGGTTTTTCAAACTTTCCTAAGTAATTATAAGGCTACTCAGTTTATCTATTTAATCTTGGTGAGGTTTGCTAGTTTCTGACTTTCAAGGAACTGTTCATTTTCATATAAATTGTCAAATTTTTGTGTGTTGTTCATAGTGTTTCCATATTTTTTAATAATGTCTATGAGGTTTGTAATAACATCCCCCTTTTCCTCTGGTACTGATTATTTGTGTCTTCTCTTTATTCTTTGTCTTTCTAGAAGTTTATCCATGTATTAATCTTTTAAAAGAACCAATTTTTATTTCATTGGTTTATACTGTCTTCATTTTTTTATTCCTTCTGCTTTATTTCTATTTATGTTTATTTCTGTATATGTTTATTTCTTTTTATAGCTTCTTAAATTAGAATCTTAGATTATGAACTTGAGACATTTATTCTTTTCTAAAATAAGCATTTAATGCTATAATTTTTCCCTCAGCACTGCTTTTTCTGCAGCCCACAAATGTTGTATTTACATTTTGTTAAGCTCAAATATTAAGTTCAAATATTTTCTAATTTCCTTGGAGACTTTCTTTAAAGAGTGCTGCTTAATTTCCAAATGATTGGAGAGTTTTATTGTTATCTTTTTGACAGTGATGTCAGGGTTAATTTCATTATGGTCAGAGAGCATACGTTCTATAATTTCAGGTCTTGAAATTCACTGAAGTTTGATTTGGGACCTAGGTAAGTATTGCTATCTTGCTAAGTATTATATGTGCATTGAGGAAAATGTATATTCTGCTGTTGTGAGTGGAGTGTTCTACAGATGTCAGTTAGATTCAGTTGATGGTGTTGTTCAGTTTTACATCCTTCCTGAGCTTCTATCTTCTAATTCTGTTAATGTGAAAGGAGTGTTGAAATCTCCAACTATAATTTTGGATTTGTTTCTCTATTCAGTTCTGACAGATTTGGGCTTGTGTATTTTGGAACTCTGTTGTTAGGTGCATATACCTTTAGAATCGTATGTCTTCCTGGTGAATTGACTCTTCTTCAATATGTAAGGTCTTTCTTTATCCCTGGTAATTTTCTTGGCTCCAAAGTCTACTTTGTCAGTTTCTTTTGGTTCATATTTGCATGGTATATCTTTTTCCAAACTTTTATTTTTCAAGTACCTATATCATATTTGAAATGAGTTTCTCCTAGATAGTATATAATTATTTTTTAAAAATGAAGAATAATTGATTTACAACATTGTGTTAGTTTCAGGTGTAAGTTGAGTCATTTTTTAAAATCTTCTAATAATCTCATATTTTAATTGATGTATTTAAACTATTTACACTTGGTATAGTTTCTGATATGTTTGAATTTAGTCTGTCATTTTATTATGTGCTTTCTCTCTCTCTTTTTTCCTGTTTAACGTTCCTCTCTTTGCTCCTCCCTGCTTTCTTTTGGGTTATTTGAACTTATTCTTGTGTCTATCATGATTTTGACTATATCTATTTACGTTAATTTTATGACTCCTTTGGGGATTATAAAATACATAGTTAATTCTTCATAATCTATTTAGAATCAATGTTTTGTCACTTTAATTGGAATGTATAAACTTTACCACCATAGACGTCCCTTTACCCTTCTTCCTTCATGTTATAAGTGTATTGTATACTATATCTGTATACATACTATATCTACATACCATATTTATATCATCAGTGTTAAATTTTTTGCCTTCAACTATCAAGCATATTCTATTCTTTTTTTTTGGCCATGCCGTGTGGCTTGTGAGATCACAGTTCCCCAATCAAGAACTGAACTCAGGCCACAGTGGTGAAAGCCCAGAATCCTAACCACTGGGCTACCAGGGAACTCTCAAGCATGTTTGAAAGACCTCAAGAGAAGAATGCTATATTTGCCAAGATACTTATCATTTTTGTTGTTCTTCATTTCTGATATTCCAAGTTTCCTTCCTGTATTATTTTTATTGTCTGAAGAACTTCCTTTAGCAATTCTTTTACAGTAGATATGCTGGCTATGAATTCTCTTAATTTTTCTTTGTAGGAGAATGTCTTTATTTCACCCTCACTGCTGAAGGCTATTTGCACTGGATATGGACTCCATGGTTGATAGTTCTTTTCTTTCAGCCTTCTAGCAGTTTAAAAATGTGCCATCTCCTTCTGGTTTTCATGGTTTCTGATGAGAAATCTGCAGTTGTTGAAATCATTGTTCCACTACAGGCAAAGAGTAATTTTTCTCTCACTGATTTCAAGATTATTCATTCTGTCTCTAGTTTTGAGCAATTTGATTATAATGTGTCTGAAGATGAATTCTTTGGGTTGATCCTGTTTAAGGTTTGCTCAGCATCTTAAATCTGTAGGTTTATGTCTTTTACCTAACTTGAGAAGTTTGGGGGATCCATTGTTTCTTAAAATATTTTTTATCTGCCTCATATTCCTCTTTCTGGGATTTCAGTTACCTGAATATTAGACTTTTTGTTGTTTTACCACGAGTTCCCAAAGTTCAGTTGATTTTTTTCAATATTTTTTCTTTCTTGTTCAGGTTGGATAGTTTTTACTGATCTAGCTTCAAATTAACTAGCTTTTTTTCCCTGTTATCTCTATTCTGCTGTTGAGTCCATCCAGTGATTTTTTTTTTGTTCTTGCTATTGTTTTATTTTTCAGTTCTAAAATATCCATTTGGTTAATTTTTAAAATTAACTTATTTCTTTTAATTGGAGGCTAATTACTTTACAATATTGTGGTGGTTTTTGCCATACATTGACATGAATCAGCCATGGGTGTACATGTGTCCACCATCCTGAACCCCACTCCCACCTCCCTCCCCATTCCATCCCTCAGGGTTCTCCCACTGCACCAGCTTTTAGTGCCCTGTTTCCAGCATCAAACTTGGACTGGTGATGTGTTTCCCATATGGTAATATACATGTTTCAATGCTATTCTCTCAAATCATCC